AAAAAGGATAATTTCTTTCTTAATAGATATGTATATAAATTGTTGAACCTTTTTAAGATAAAAAAAAACTTTTAGATATATTATTTTGAACATCTTTGTGAATCGCTTATCTAAATTTCTGAGTGATATCACTAATTTAAGATAACGAAAAACTTTTAAATAGTAGTATTTATAACACCAACATTTTATATAAATCGTCTGTACGTTTTAGTAACTTTAAATATAATGATATTAAGTCAATTATCGCTATCCATTTTTGTGTTAATAAATGTTAACACTAATTTTATTTTTATTATCACCAAATATGTTTTTGCTGTAGATGGATAATCATATAGTGGCCAGTAACGGAATGAAGAAAGACCACACATGCATTTGTCTTCTTTTTAATGGAATATGCAACGTGTGAGAATCACAGCTTTCTCTATATACGTGCCGGAATAGCTATTAGTACTAGAATTAAAACATGATTGATAACGAAGTTTGATTACGATGGAATAGTAAGTATTTTTTTATTCTTAATAGAAATTTTGGATTCAAAACCTAGTTGATATAAAATTGTTTTTATTATAGATTCTTTTACTCCCTAATTTAAGTTTTTTTTTTTTTAATTATGAATCTAAATTTAATTATGCTCCAACATGAATAAGTGAAAAATAAAAAAATAAAAAAGGACAATAATTGATAAAACTTCAAAATGGCCCACTGTCCTTCCTTATGAATTGCAGTTCTACGGCCCATAAGAAAACGGCACAGTCCCATTACAAAATTTGGACGAGGCCAATTCCCATTTAATCAAGGGAAAGTTACATCCGGCAGGACGGCAAAATACACTATTTTCTATATATTAAATAATAATATTATATACAAAAAAAAAAAAAAAATTTGATAGATGACTACACCATATGAAAATCTTTTTAATCAATCATTCATCTAAGTATACTTGCACGGACAAATTATTTGTGTGTAACCATTTAAGTTTTAATATTTTGTTTAATAATACATAAATTTGAGCAATACATTTTTGCTTAGTTAAAATGGCAAGACTTTTAGCACATGACTATCACAATCTTGGATCACTAAGTAAGATGATTTTTAAGATTAATTCATGAGCAAAATGTTGACATTCTCGCATGAGACATGTTCCTTATTTAATCGCCAACAGAATCTCAGCAATGCAAGCCTCTGGTTTGGTTTTTATTTTCAAACAAATTCATAAATAGGGTAGTGTTTAATTTGTCAACATTTCTTAAATTTGCGTGAAGTTCAAAAGTTTGGCATCATTTGTGGACTATTAATTACAAGTATATGTTTCACGTGGAGTAATTTACAAGTCTGACTAGGTTGATAACACGTGTCAGTATTGCTGCATCAAAAGCTTTTATAAAAAAAAATAAAAAAATAAAACAATATCCCACAAAGTGTCAGATTTATGCAAATTTTCAGTAATTTTCTCTTGTTTATTTCTTCTTGTCATGAAAATTTAAAATATAGTATGTTGTAGTCACATAGGCTTATATCTACTAGAGTCTAGATATTAGCTAGACTAGGGGCTGAGGCCGAACAACCATATTATATAAATAGTATACAACAACGACAATAATAACAAAAAAAACCCATTAAAATCTCACTATATATCGTCTTGAGAGGGTATAGTGTACGTATATGTTATTACTACTTCGTAGAAATAGACATGTTGTTTCCGAAAGACCCTCGGCTAAAGTGCATTAAATCCAAGTAATTAAAATGAAAAACAAACAAACAATGAATAGTATATTTTTTAAAATGCATATACGTAAGTTGTTGAGTTCTTGCTTTTGAGTTATTCAAATACTAGTTTACCTATAGACTCAGTAGTTCAGAACATAAAAGCTACTACCAAATAAAGAATTTGCCAGTAAATCGAGAAATATAGAAATAAAAAAAGCACTTGTGTCTTGTGGGAGTTATAATTAGTTTTTGGAGTATTTCTTAAAAAAGCAGAGTCTAGGACTAGCTAGAGGACACATTATCTATAGATAGCCACCAAAAAGATAGTGCTACCACGTTTTTTTTTCTGTAGTTTTAAACCACTAGATATTATTAAAGGAATATAAAGAGGCCTAATTTCGTTAATGTTAAAGTAGTTGTTGAGAAAGTTTGATATTTTAAATACCACAAATGGTTTTACGTAATCCATTTTTTTACTATATTTTGCTGATCAGTGACTATTTGTTATATGGTATGAGAGATGAGATAGATAAGAATATCTTATGAATTGAATTATATATCTCATGGATTTAGCTATTTCACTTCTATATATGGTATAGATAAGTACAAATGGTGAGATTAAATATTGCAGGACTAATTAATGGTCAATAATCAAATATGAAATAAAATAATCTCATATTTTGTTGCAAAATTATGATCCTTATCTCGCATACCAAATCATCAAGGATTTAGTAGAGGAGTAGCTAGAGGGACAACTATTGAAGGAAAATTGTTTAAATTAACTGCTTTTGTATTGACGTGACCGTGGCAATAGACATGCATAAGAGAAAAATTCTCAGATAGCCATTTTTGGACTTGTAAAATTGAAAAACAATCACAGATTTTGTGTACTTTTGACCTTTTTTATTTGTGTAACTTCGAAATTCATAAAACTATATATTATGGGATGATTAATTGTATATGATAAGTGATTATGTTTCAACGAATTTTCATGCACTAATTAGTTTTCAAAAAGAAATCAGTTGGAAAATTCATATTATTATTATAGTATAGACCCATTTTTGTAAGGGTAAACTACGTATATCCCACTACTTTACATCCCAATTACTAGGAATTCCGTTAGTTTTCAATATTACTTCCTATACCACTTTTTATTCCTAAGATACACGGGTAATAATTCTTAAGATACATGACTCTATTAAAATTTAAAGGAGGGATCCATGTTTTAAAAGATAGGATACACGTTCCTTAATTAATTTGAATTAATCGTGGGAGATAATCCCTTAATTGAAGGAGTAAGTTATGGGAGATATAACAACCATAACGTAATTCATGGCTCCATTTCATCATCAACGATTTATATATCAAATTATTTTCTGAAGTTCTTCATCTTCTTAATCAAATTAAGATTCTTTTCAACCTTTAAATTTTCGATTTTTTTTTATTATGGCGAATATCACAGTATTGTTGAGGCATTCCGGTTCATGGGTATCTGAAATTGATTATGAAAACTATAGAATTGATGGAATAATTTTGAGAGATAATGCAAACTACAACAATCTACTAATCATATATGCTACCCAAATTCGAGATACATGATATTTTTACGAGATACACAATATAAAATCTGTAGACATTTTTCTCATGTATATGTTCTACATTATTTTCAGGTCGTTTAGTTGTTCGAGATACACTATAAAAGTATGGCAAATTTATTTTCATATTGAGAGATACATGTATCCGCCGAATTTAAAATTGAGATACATATTTTATTTGTTTATATTAATTAGTTGTAACTGATTTCCATAATTAGAGGAGTATCATTACTCGGGAGATACATGTATCCATCGGTTTTAAAAGTTGAGATACACAATTTATCACTTTAAATTAAAGGGGTGTAACTTATTTCCTTAATTAAAGGATTAATTGATAAATAATTAACAACCCATTTACAGGATCCTTGCGTATCTAACAATTTTATAAATCATAATAATTTTATAATTATAAACTTCATCTTCTTCATCAATTCCTTATTCCTTCATTTGTATCTTAAATTTTCTAATTTTTCGGCCTTGAGATACATGTATCATTACTCGCGAGATACATGTATCCATCGGTTTTACAAGTCGAGATACACGATTTATTACTTTGAATTAAAGGGGTGTAAATAATCTCCTTAATTAAAGAATTAATTGATGAATAATTAACAATCCAAACGGATTTATAGAACCTTTGCAAATTAACTCTAACAAGTTTTTCTAAAATAACGAAATCATAAACCATTGTAATTTTGTAATTGTAGTAATGGTGGGATACGTGAGGTATCTGTTTTGGAATTGGGGAGGGAAACGGCTGAAAAGAATAGAGAGAAATTAATTTGAATTGTTAGTGTCATGCTAATTGAGGAGATGTAATTTTAAGATAATTATACATTATCATTTTTAAAGGGATTGTGTATCTGATTTAATTTTTTTTAAAATATGGTATATTTTTTTTAAAGTGGTAATCTATGTAATATTTTTAAAGGAGAGATAAATTATGTATATGTGGTAGTTAAGTATGTCTAGATAGGTAGTTTTCCCTTTTTGTAAGTTGTTTTTTCAAAATTTAACAGTGGGCTTCAAGCCCAAACCCTTAAAATCCAGTGCACACCTTGTCAAATGGGACCATCGGCAACTAATATCCCAAACTTTCTTTGGGCTGATTTACGCAAATGTTCCTTCATAGGTGCTATTTTATTTTTATTTTTACGTGCAAATATTGTCTTTATTACCAAATTACCTTTCTGTAAATGTTAAATTTATCTAATGTTTGTTCTTATAAACCTCACTCATACAAATTAATCATTAGATTTTCGTCTAACATTTGCAATTACTATAACATTTTAGATTGGGATATTGCGATTTGTCGTCTAACGTCTGTCCTTGAGCAGTTTCATACTTGTCACGTTTTATAGTTAATTATTGCATATTCCATTTGGTGTTAATCTTATTGGTTAGATATTAATATATTGGATATTAAAATACTGATTAAAATCTTATGAAATATTCTTATCGACTATTATTTGTCTTCTTGTTCTAGGGATAACTATTCTAGATCATCAATTTTAACACATTCGATAGTGACGAAAGCGCTCATAACAAACCCAATAAATAAAAGCAAAAATAGTTCAAGTATATGTTTGCATATGATCTCATGAACATTGCAAATAATTCATCAATTGGCACTAAAAAAATTATAAACAAATTAATATATTTATAATTTGGTAAGCAAAGCAAAACATCTTAATTTCAACAACATATATTGCCAATATAGTCCCCAAAGGTGCGATTTAGAAAATAAAATGTATGTGGATCTTATCCCTACCTTACGGAAGTAGATAGATTATTTTTGAAAGATACTTAACTTTTATCAAATAACACTACGATTTGAAAAAGCATTCGGGGTAAGGCCCAACATTGGAATAGCAAAAGAGCTCTGCAATACAAACCCTCGATGAAATGTATCAACTGCTTCGTTCCCTTCCAATATGTCATTTACCGCTGACCAATAAAATTCTTTTATTTTCTTCGCCATATTTGAGTAGTGCAATTTCAGCCCCTTTAATATTCGGACTCGTCGGAAAATCCTCAATAGAAGGAATCTTCGCCGGTGCTTCTTCCCTCCAGCTCCGAGCTGAATTACCGGTAACTTCTTTCGTCGAAATGATAATTTACGGCGGGCCTGACTGAATATGGATGTGGAATTGGCATGGCTTATACTTTTGTTGAGGCTAATTTGGTCAGAATAAGCCATTATTTGTTTTGTTTTTGATCGAATAATTCTAAGAGAATTGAGAACTAATATATAAGGAGATAGAAGAGTTGACCAAGTAAGTGCTGTGTAATGCAAATTACTTCTGCTCAACTAAGGGGTGTTTGGTTGGAGGATAGACAGAATCATAAAATCTCATACTATAAGATGCAATATATATTATTTGATTGAGGTATATAGATAAATATAAACAATTAATCTCAGAATTAGATAATATAATATTTTGTTGGAGATACGGAACAATATTAACATTAAATTATACACAAAAATATGTAATGCACAAATTAAGTAACTTAATTTGTGCATAACCCTACATTATTATCATGTAAACACATCATTTTGTATCATCAATCAACTTTAATTTTTATTTTAAACACATAATTTTATTTTTCTTTTCGAAATTGGGGGTAGGGAAAATTGAAAAGGAGATTACGAGGTGGAAAATCGAACTTTTATTTCATTAATAAGGTGAAAATTTATATAATCAACAATTCGAGCTACACAAATTCCTCTATTTTACGCACATTAGTTATTACTAATTAATGATAATTAATGGATGGAAATGGTAGCCCTCTTGTTAGCCTCATTTTAGGCCGTTAAGCTCCATAGGCTCTAAAGTCTAGACCATTCACTAACCTATAATTTATTTGTTGATGAAAAATTGAAAATAAAATTACAACTGAAAAACTAAATGAAGGAAATAAATATTTTCAGGATAAACGGTGGATAAATCATTCCCTTTAAAGAGATTTAACTTCATTGCAACAAATTTTTTATCCACAAACTGCTTTGCTATGACAAAAATTGTTTTAATATTATACTTTTTTTAAAGAAGCCCAAAATTATTATCTTCGATGATTTTTACATTACTTAAGTGCTTGAAAAGGAAGATGCAGATTATTTCCCACCTCTGAAAAATTATTAACTTCAAAAGATATGTTTTATGCTAGCTCGAATAAGCTTTAATATTAATAGTGGATAAAATGTTTTGAATAAATATAAGAACTATATTAGACGACGTGGTAAAATAGATAATAGTATCTAAAGTAGGTAGAATAGATGTCGAATCAAATTAAAATATTAGCACGTCGTTTTATTAAATTGTAGCAAGTTGAACATAAACGTCTTTAAAGAAAATATATCAAATTTAAGGGCGTATTTGGTATAAATAGAATGTTTTCCATAAAAAGATATTTCCTTGAATATTTTCTTATTCTTTTTTTCTTTTTAGAGAAGAAATTATTCTGTCATTATTCTTCTTCTTCTTTTTTTTTTTTTTTTTTTGTGTAAATATACAAAAAAAAATATTATACCAAAATATTTGTTTATGTGAGTGAGGGTATGCAGTAAAGTGCGAGGTTGGTGTGGATGGGGTGGAGGAAGGATGCGTTGGAGACGGAAAATGAGAGTAACATGACAGTTATGAAACTTGATTTTTTCTAATTTTATAAAGAGATGTCATTTTTCTTAATTTTAGAAAAATTGTTTTTTTTAATAAAATATTTACAACACCTTTTTACTGACCTGACACAAAAACTTCAAAAATATTTTATGAATGATGTTACCATCCATAACAAAACACTCCCCAACTTGAAAATGACCAATACCAAGAGAATCTAATTAATTAATGGGATGAAAGTGCTTGGTCTAGCAATTGAAGCATTTAATTATTAATTTTAAAGTGCTAACTTCGAAAAACATGTTCTTAAAATTTCACCTAAAATAATTTAATCAAATTAAGAACGTGCAAAACAAAACATATCTAGTAAAATGGAATGGAGGGAGTGAGTTTCATTAAAGAAATAATTTTCATGTTAAAAATACTTGGAAGTTGGACCTCAGTACATTTCCAGATCGAAAAGAGTCGCAAATTTCAAGTTGATCACAATTCACGATAGTAAGGTTGTGGGTTCGAGTTACTAAGGGATCAAATAAGTATTCAAAAATAACCTCTCTATCTCCACGAGGTAGCGGTAAGATCTGTGTACACTCTTCCATCTTCGGACCTTACTTTGTGTGATTTCACTGAAAATGTTGTTAAAAATGACAAGTAAAAATGAAAGGGAAGTGCTAACTGGCCAGAAAATTAAAAAAACTATAATATTTTTTTTATTTTAAAAAAACTGATCTTTTTTCCATTTTTTTAGTTAAAATGTATTTAAATTAAAAGGGTAAAAATATTTAAAAAGTTAAAATAACATAGAAAAAATATCATTCTGGCCAAAAAGATTTTTCCAAAATGAAAAATGTATTTTTAAAATAATGAACAAATTAAAGAGAACGGGAAAAGTATTAGTTTTCAAATTTGAATTTTTCTCCATCTATAAGAAACATTCATACTCATGGTTCATAAAATGAAATAATTGAATTTTGCTCAAGCTTGGAGTTCCTTTCATTGTAAACCCGTATGATTTTCATGTTCTCCAACTTTGTTCGGAGAAATAATTAACAGTTTGTAACGTACAAACATTATGTGAAAGTACACTTCAAACATAATTTCTCATTTAATCATATTGCAAGACTTGGTTCAACGTCAAGTTATGGTGATTGTCTGGAAAAATATCGTTTATGTTATATATAGTCGAGATGATAATACTAATAAATTATTAAAATTTCTTATTTTATATTGGATAAGATTTATCTTAACAAGTTATGATAATCATTAGAATTGTAATAAATGTTGAATAATTGCCCGAATCATTTCATCGAGTTTTGTAGCCAAAAATTCTTTACATTACGTTAAACTTTAGTTTTAACTTTTCAAAACTATCTCACAGTGCTTGGGATGAACACATTAATTTTCCCAATAAATAAAAGACTAAAATAGTTCAAGTGCGTAATGTGCATGCATGATCTCATGAAGATTGCAAATAATTCATCAACTGTCACTACAAAAAATAAGTGAATAAATTAAGGAAAATAAAATTTAGGAGTATATTTTTAAGCAAATGAAAGAAAAACATCTTAATTAATTTCAACAAAAATAAAAAATAAAATTAAATAAGCAACATTGTAATCCCACATATGAATTTGCAGAGTCTAAATTGTTAAATCAGAAATAAAACGAATAAAAAATAATTTTAGGTTATAGCTTTCAAATAGTACGATGATTTGGGAAAGTAGGTACGATGATCATAGCAAAAGAGGTATGATGAGTTGCTCTGTTTCCTTCCAATATGTCATTTACCGCCGACCAATAACATTCTTTTATTTTCTTCATTCCCTCTTGTCGGAAAATTTTCACCGGAGAGGACTTCCGCCGGTGCTTCTTCCCTCCGCCTTCGACCTGGACAACCGGTAACTTCTTCCGCTGGAATGACATTTTGCGGCGGAATATGGATGTGGAATTGGCATTAATGCTTTTACTTTTGTTGACGCTATTTTGATCAGAATTAGTCATTATTGTGTTTTTAGTTGTACTTACTACTTTTTTGTTCAAATAATTCTGTTTGTTGAACTAACATATATATAAGGGATAGAAGAGTAGAACATGGTCTGCATAATGCCAATTACTTCTCCTCAACTAAGGGATTAGACTTGGTTTGAGGATAAGAGTGAATCATAAAATTATATATCTCATATAAGATATGATACTATTTGATTGAGGCTTATAAGATATACGATATTATTTGATTGAGGTATAATATTGTAATTTAATGTTGAATGAGGTCGGGAGATAGCAAGTGATAAGTTGCAATTTGAAGAAATAATTTCCATGCTAAAAATACTTGGAAGTTGGACCTTAGTACATATTCACAAAAGAGTCACAAAGTTCAAGTTGAACATTGTAGGTAAAACTTGTTTGGTTTAGGTTACACGACAATTATATATTATTTTATCATTACATATCCCATTATCCGGTTAAAATTAAAGTAAATATAGTAAGTAATTTTATATTTTATTCTCTCCGTTTATTTTTATACCATTCAAATGTAACTTCAAACTTCAACAACCAAGGACTGAAATAGCCCCAGTTTTTAGATACGAATTCTTTTTGATGTTTCAGTTTTTTTGAGATATCACTCACTCAAAAGAAATTTATTTGCGAATTGATTTTTTGAACTTGAGCTTTGAGCTTCGAGTATGTCCGTAGAAATTATCAGTTCGTAACTACAAAGTACAAACATTATGTGGACGTACTCTTAATTAAGTTCTATTATATTGAAGGACCTATCAATGCATTCTTGAAGATGAACCCGATAATTTAATTCTTATAATTGTCCTAAATGACATTATATCATAATTAAGCTCTATTTGTGCTCATGTTACCATGATGTTGGTCCTAATTAGATTGTGATCTAAAGATCTTTCAAAATTGATTGTAAATTATATTCTTGTTGTGTCAACAGCTTGTGTCCTTGAGCAGTTATTGATCATTAGATACTAAGTAATATATTAGGTATATTGAGATACTAATTAAAATTAATATAAAGTTCTGGTCGATAAATATTCGAGATCAACAATTTTACTTGACTCAATTAATTGTGATGAAAGTGCGCTGATAATACCCCATTTGAGTCAACAATGATTTCTTATTTGATCATATTTTTGGTTATAATTTCAAGTAAAATGTTGGTGAATTATCAAGTTATAATAATCGTTAAAATTATTGCCATAGATCTTGAGAAATATTGCTAGAATCATTTCAAATCTGCGCGCGGTAGTAATTATAGCATTTCATCGAGTTTTGTAGCTAAACTTTTTTGCCTAGGATCTTTCGAAAACAGCATTTTTACATCTACGAGGTAATGGTAATTAGGTCAATGGTAGACCTCACTTTGTGTGATTTCACCAAATATGTCGTTGCATTAAAAACTTTAATTTTGACCTTTTAACTCTCTTACACAAAGAGATCACCAAGGAGGCACTTTGACCATCTATCCTTGAATAAATTCTCAACAAATAAAAGAAAAAATAGTTCAAAGTACGTATAGTATATGCATGCATGAAGATATATTACAAATAATTTATCAAGTGGCACTACAGAAAATAATAAATAAATAAAAGTTATATATATAGAGAGAGAGATAAATTTCAAGGAAAACCAGAAGTAATAAATAAACAACAATATTATTGTAATCCCATAAATAAAATTTAGAGAGTGGTGATTTGTGCGTAGTCTTAAACCATAAATAAAATGAATAAGATTTTCATCTTAGCTTTCAAAAACTAGGATGCTTTGGAAAAGCCCATCACTGGAATAGCAAAAGAGGTATTTGCTACCAGTCGTTGATCGAATGTATCACTTCCTTCCAATATGTCATTTACCGCCGACCAATAACATTCTTTTAATTTTTTCACAGCTAAGTACCGCAATTTCTGCCCCTTCAATCCATCTCGTCGGAAAATTGAGATTTTCCGTCCGTGCTTTTTCCTTCTAGCCTCCACCTGAACTACCGGTAACTTCTTCCGCCGGAATGACATTTTGCGGCGGATCTGACTGAATATGGATGTGGAATTGTCATTAATGCTTTTACTTTTGTTGACACTATTTTGGTTCGATTTAGCCATTTTTGTCTTACAAGTATCACTACTTTTTTTGTTCGAATAATTCTGTTTGTTGAACTAACAAATATATATAAGGAGATCATAGAGATAGAAGAGTTTAATTCATGAGCTCCATTATCCCAATTACTTCTGCTCAACTAAGGGGTACTGATTTGGTTTGAGGATAGAGAGAATCATAAAATTATAAGATATGATATTATTTGATTGAGGTATATGAATAAACATAATAATCTCACCACAAGATAATAGAGTAATATTATAATGAGTATTGGATTGGGCTAATCTCTTTACATTTTCTCTATATTTCTTCAACTACATATTTAGATAAGTATCACTACTTGTCTAATACATAATTTTAAAGCTCAAGAATGAAATTAATTTAACAACGCATCTTAATTATCAAAATTTTAAAAACTACATCTTTAATTAGAGCATGCAATATTAATCTCCCCGCCTATTTTGATACTTATTGGTTTCATTTGTAAATTTAATCGGTTAACTTCCTTACCCCCTCCCCTTTACTCTCCGTAAATCCGTATAAATACGAAAATCATTTTGTGATCATTTAGAAAATTGATTTAAAAATTACTCTGAAAATTGAATTAAGGAACATATGAGGGGGTAATAGTGTAAACTAGTACTGAAATAATAGTTCAAATTTTTAATTGATGTATGAAAAGCAAATTAGAGTATTAAAATTATTTGTGATAGTATTTTGATTAAATTTAGTTTTAAAAAAGTTAACATATCAACGAATTTTGAATTTTTTGTTTTATCAATGTAAAATTTACAATTTGAAATTAACGAGTATCAAAAAATGTGGGAAGATTGATATTTCATACTAGAATTAAAGAGTGCTTTTCAATTTTAATATTTTAATCATAGTTAAGATGCTTGTTAAATTAATCTAATTTTGACCTTTAAAAGTTATACTCCTTCCGTTTCATTTTATGTGTCACCTTTTTATTTTGCACTTGCATTAAGAAATGATGTAATTTTACCCTTCTACCCTTGTTTAATGTTTTTTTAAGTCAACTTTATTAATAAATTACAAGATTAATTAACTATTCTATCAAGGGTATAATAGGCAAAATATGATAATTTATGCATAAATTTTATAAAATAACAAGTATTGTGGTCCAACTATTTATAGAAAGGGATGACATATAAAATGGGACGGAGGGAGTATTAGATAAGTGTTACGTATCTAAACATGTATATGAGGAAGTAAAGAGAAAGTATAATGGAGAGAAGTCGAATCTAGTATATATGATACTTATTTTGTTGATGGTATTAAATAATATTGACATAGATTATACATGATACAACGTGTAATAATCCATATATGTACTCCCTTTTAAAAATAGTTTGGCAGACTTTATTTAAGTTGTGGGCCAACGAAAACAACTTTCCTACGAAATAGGAATAAGGTATTTGTATATTATACTAGATATGTATTGTATAATAATGTGTAATAAAATATTTAATGCATAAATAAATAATTTGAAGATCAGACGACAAATAAAGCTTGCTCAAGTGATTGAATAATTCCATAACAAGGGATGGATTGCGAGCTTGAGTCACATTGAAAGGTAAGTAGAGCCTGAGGAAACACTATTATAACTTCGAACTTCAATGGACTAGTACTGAAATTTCAAAATAGTTCATGAAGATTGCAACTAGTAATTCATCAAGTGGCATGCACTATAATAAATAAATTAAAAAACATCTTCATTAATTTCAACAAAAATCAGAAATAAATAACAATGTAATCCGTGAATGAAATTTGTACATAGTCTTAAATAAAAAATAAAATGAATAATTTCCAGCTTGGCTTTTAGATACGACGCTGATTAGGAAAAGTAGCAAAGGAAAGGCCCATCATGGGAATAGCAAAAGAGGTATCTATTACAAGTCGTTGCTCGAATGTATCATTTGCTTGGTGTCGTTCCAATATGTCATTTACTGCCAACCAATAATATTCTTTTATTTTCTTCATACCTAAGTACTGCAATTTCTTCCCCTTCAATCCATCCCGTCGGAAAATAGATAATTTCTTCTTCCCTCCAGCTTCCGGCTGGACTACCGATAACTTCTTCCGCCGGAATGACATTTTGCGGCGAGCCTGACTGAATATAGATGTGGAATTCGCATGCCTTTTACTTTTGTTGACGCTATTTTGGTTCGAATAAGCCATTATTTATTGTGCTATAATTAAGTATCAATACTTTTTTTGTTCGAATAATTCCGTTTGTTGAAGAAAGATATATATATAAGGAGATCGTCATATAGAGATAGAAGAATTGAATACATGAGCTGCATTATCCCAATTACTTCTGCTCAACTAACAAATGATTTGGTTTGAGGATTGATAGAATATCTCATATAAGATACGATATTATTTGATTGATATATAGAAATAAATAATCCAACACAAGATTATATTATATTTTGTTGATGGTAATAAATAATATTTATATTAGATTATACACGATATAACATACAATCACCTATATATGTATCCTTTTTCTGAAATTATTTGTCATGACTTTATTTAAATTAAGGATCTACGTGATCAGCCTTTCTATTTCTACAGAAATAGTATCAAGAGAATCTAATAAATTAATGTGATTTTTCCGGATAATGTTATCTTCCCTATCAAACACATCGCAACTTGAAAAGGACCCATAACAAGAGAATCTAATTAATTAATAGGATGAAAGTACTTGGTCTAGTAATTAAAATATTTTAGTTATTAAATTTCAAGTAGATCATATTTGTTTTGTGATTGTAGTTACTTGGTCTAGCAATTAAATATTTTAGTTATTAAATTTCAAGTAGATCATATTTGTTTTGTGATGGTAGTTATTTTTTATGAAATTGCAAAAAAAAAAAAAAAAAAAGTTTCAAACGTAGGATTTTATATTTGTTCATATATTTTTATAATCTTACAAATTAAATAACTGTCGTCTAACATTTGCAATAACTATAAAATTTTAGATTATGATCTAATGATTTCTCATAAGATTTTTATTTTGTTATTCATAGACCATTTTTTTTAAAAAAAATAATCCAGAAATTACAAGAAAAATATAAAGAATGGCATTAGCTTTTTTGAAATTATATTCTTGCCTCCTATCTGATTCGAACCGCACATTTGATAGTTAAAGAAGAATACTTCAAATAGTAAGATTTAAATTATTGTTCCAAAAAATAAAAGTAATCAGTGAAAATTTCTGCCCTGTTATTAATTTTTTCCCTTTACATGTTACCATAATGTTGGTCTTGTAGATTTATTAAATTGTAATCGTACGATTTCTCAAAAAAAAATGATACACAAAACTTGAATTCAAAACTTCTGATTAAAAGAAGAGCAGTTTCAACCACTACACCACATCTCTCGGTGATATCGGGTGCAAATTATACCACAAGACTTGATAAATTGCGAGAAGCATTTCAAATTTGCGGCTGTAATCGTGGCATTTCATCGAGTTTTGAGTTTTGTGATTGTACCCACAATCTCTTTACATTTAATTAAAAGTTAGTACTTTTTAAACCATCTCTCATCAAGAGAGATCAAGGTGGCACTTTGACCATCCTTGATGTTCGTACAGGTAATTGGGGTGGATAAAAATTTTAGGTTTAGCAAACATAAAAATTATATTTGTATGCTATAGTTATAATTTGTATAATTGCGCTCCATAGTAAACTTTATGTTTGCTATGGAGCATCAGATTTGTATAAATCGTTGGCAGCCTCTCATTTGTATAAATCGTTGGCAGCTTCTCACTGGCAGCCTCTAGTTGTATAAATCGTTGGCAGCTTTGTATACTTATTAGTGTATAGAATGAAAATATGTGTATTTGTATTTGTATATACAATTTTCTCTCGCTTTATACAAACACAAATATAATTTATACATTTGTATTTGTATAAAGTGAGAGAGGTGAGAGAGAGACTGGCGAGCGAGACCAGGAGAGTGGCGAGCGAGAAATCTGGGGAGAATAGCGATGGCAAAGTGTTTGCTACAGATTAGAATTAAATGAAACAATGGTTATAACATTTAATTTGAATTAATAGTTTGCTATTTTATATAATTTTCCCATAAAATTACAATATATTAAAGAAAAAATAGTTCAATTGTACGTATGTGCATGCATGATCTCATGAAGATTGCAAATAATTCAACTGGCACTGCAATATATATATTAATGAATTTCTACATTTTTTAAAGCAAATCAAAGTAAAACATCTCAATTGATTTCAGCGAAAACCAAAAATAACAAATAAACAACCGTGTAATCCCACAAATAGAGTGGGAAGAGTGAGTAGTATGTAGGTCGTCTTAAACTAGAAATAAAATAAATAAAATTTTCAACTTAGCATTCAAATACCACGATGATTAGGAAAAGTAGTGAAGGAAAGTCCCATCATTGGAATAGCAAAAGAGGTATCTACTACAAGTCGTCGCTCGAATGTATCACTTGCTTCCAATATATCATTTACCGCCAACCAATAGCATTCTTTTATTTTCTTCATACTCAAGTACTGCAATTTCTTCCCCTTTAATCCGTCTCGCCGGAAAATCTTCACTGGAGAGACTTTCTGCCGGTGCTTCTTTCCTCCAGCTTCAACCTGGACTATCGGTAACTTCTTCCGCCGGAATGACATTTTACAGCGGGCTTGACTGAATATGGATGTGGATTTGGCATGGCTTTTACTTTTGTTGAGGCTATTTTGGTTCGAATAAGCTATTTTTGCGTTATAAGTATTAATTACTTACTTTTTGTTCGAATAATTTTGTTTGTTGAACTAATATATTTATAAGGAAATCATACGAATAGCGAAGAGTTGAGCATGAGACGCATAATACCTATTACTTCAGCTCAACTAATAAGTGATTTGGTTTGAGGATAGAGAGAATCCTAAAATTATCTCATATATATTAGATACGATATTATTTGATTGAGATATATAAAAAAAACAATCCAACACAAGATTATATTATATTTTGTGGATGGTACTAAACAATATTTACATTAAATTATACACAATAAAACTTAGTGTGTAGTCACTTATATATGTATCCCTTTTTTAAAATTGATAGATTAGACTTTATCTAAGTTGAGTGTCAATCGGAAGAACATCTCTATCTTTACGAGATAGGATAAGGTCTACATAGATACTCTATTCTCACATATTTCACTTGTGGTATTACATTATATATGTTATTGTTGTAGTAGAATGTGAAATAAAAACATGTAATGAAGGAAATAAATCATTTAAAGATAACAAGTGAGACTTTCTTCAATGGTTAAGCACATTCATTATTCAGCCATTAGTCAAAAATTTGAGTCACACTAAAAAGATAAGTGGGTTGTTGGATAGGTTTGAAGAAGAAGACAAGAGAAAAATACTTCAAGTTACTTTTGATGGGAAATCAATCTTTTTTAATTCATGCTTTAGTAATAGAAAGTTTGAGAGGCTGGTAACTCAACTTTCTTCTTGATTGACATATTTTTACATTATTTAAGCATCCTCATTTGTAATATCATCATGGAATATACTTAGTTCTCTCTTGCTCTTATTTTCTTCATGCTTGTTAGGTAGCAGAAGTTAGGTACTTCATTAGGATTAGCAAGATAAGGCCTCTAGCCTCCCTTGCTTGTACTTGTCCCTATTGATATTTTTTATGTTTAATAAAAGACCGCTAGTGGTAATTTTGTTTTTTTTTTAAAAAAAAAAAGAAGTTAAACTTTGGCCCATGGCCAGTTTTATTAAATTAGATCAAATAGTCGCGTGTATTCTTTTTTTTCCCCACGATTTGTTTTGTAAATACTTCTCCATTAGAGTAGGACTTTAATTTTATTTTTTATTTACACATATTTACAACTACTAATGGACGGAAAAGGTAGACCTCTTGCCTCTTTTTAGGCCGCTAGGCTCCATAGACTCTATTAAGTCTTCATTAGCCCATTTATTAGCCATACAACTTATTTAGCTTGGATTCAACTTGAAAAATATTTTTATTTGAGGATAAAAATCTTTGAAATAAATATAAGAACTATATTAGACGTGGTACAATAGATTGATATCATGATAAGAAATAGACATTAAGTCTAACTTGTCTAACTCTACCTTAAAATCTCTCATAAAATGTAGATTGTCCAGGATCATATATATATATATATATATATATATATATATAGTATCAATCAATGTTTTACATTATTGGTATATATGGATCAAAAACTCAATATATATAATGAGAGGTCTTGAATTTGAGTACTAAAGAAGAAAAAGTTCCTAAGAAGCAATGCTTCCTAGCTCTTTATGAGCCTAGCTTGATGTAAATACAAATTAATCAGACCAATGAATACTCGAGTTGATGAAAATAAAACATAACAGTAATATCTTAGCTTGAAATTGATGAAATGACTTTTGACGTGGCTTGGTTAAAATATAATTTGAAGTTTAGTTTTGATTTTTAAACTATCTCCTGAGAAGCAATGCTTCCTAGCTCTTTATGAGCCTAGCTTGATGTAAATACAAATTAATCAGACCAATGAATACTCGAGTTGATGAAAATAAAACATAACAGTAATATCTTAGCTTGAAATTGATGAAATGACTTTTGACGTGGCTTGGTTAAAATATAATTTGAAGTTTAGTTGATTTTTAAACTATCTCACATCAAGAGACCAAGGTGGCTCTTTGACCCTCCTTGATGTTGGTAGTGCTTGAATTGAATAAATTCCCAATAAATAAAAGAAAAAAAATTAGTTCAAGTATATGCATATATGATCTCATAAAAGAGAACAAATAACTCATCAAGTGGCCGGCACTCCATAGTAAATAACTTAAGATGTATATAATTCATTTGTTTCATATTTTTTAAAGCAAATCAAAAAAAGAGATTACTTCATTCCAATAAATTAATTATAAACAACAAACAATGTAATCTCACAAATGGAGTTTTGAGAGGATAGTATAGTGTTAAAATTTTCAGCTAAGCTTTCAAATAGCACGAGGATTTGGTGAAAACATAGTGAAGGAAAAGCACATCACCGGAATAGCAAAAGAGGTCTCCGTTGCAAGCTGTCGCCGGAATGTATCAACTTCTCCGTGTCCTTCCAATATGTCGTTTACAGCCGACCAATAACAATCTTTTATTTTTTTCATACCTAAGTAGTGCAATTTTTGTCCCTTCAAACCACCTCGTCGGAAAATCTTCATCGGAGAGAATTTCCGCCGCTGCTTCTTCCCTCCAGCTTCGGGTTGCACTACCGGTAACTTCTTCCATCGGAATGCCATTTTGCGGCGGGACTGACTGAATATGGATGTGGAATTGGCATTAATGCTTTTACTTTTGTTGACGCTATTTTGGTCCAAATTAGCCATTATTGTGTTATAAGTATGATTAGTGCTACTTTTTGTTCAAATAATTCTGTTTGATGAACTAACATATATATAAAAGGAGATCATAGAGATAGAAGAGTTGAATACATGAGCTGCATCATTTAATTATATCATACAAGATATGAAAATTATTTGATTGAGATATATAAATAAATAATCTCAACATAAGTTAATACAATATTATGTTAAGGTACTAATTAATATTTTTTTGCATTAAATTATAGTATATAATACAACATGTAATAATCTATATATTTATCACTTAATAAAAGTCTTTAGTAGACTTTATTTAAGCGGATGATGGAGTCACATTGAAAGGCAAGTGAAAAACATGACTATTGATTTTGGTGAGATGAAAAAGACCAATTAAAATGAAATAAATAATAAAGTAATAATTTAGAGATAAATATTCCCTTTATGAGTAATTAATTAATTAATTTATCAATAAGATTTTCTAGGTATTAACTGTCAATTGCAATAATCCCTCACATCAATGATAATATTATAAGAGTCTATTATAAATAATTTCTATCTGTATAAACAATTTCAATATTATTAATCTCCGCATAATTTTTTCTAAGCCAAATTATCCCTAAGGTCTTTCTTCCCAACTACTTTAACAAACATTCCGCTTATCCAAAAAATAAATAAATATAGGGTTGTATTACTAGGGGTTACAATATACATATTTTTCTGTGTTTGAATCACATTTTTACACTCAAATTATTTACGAATCTTAACAAGAAACTCAGCACTCTTGGTCAAGTAGTCACAGAAAATGAAAAATAATTTGGCAATAATTATGTATTTTTCCCACAATTTATTTATATTCTCCTGAGTAATGTTATCCTCTGTATCAAAAAAACACCCCTAACTTGAAAGGAACCAGTACAATGAAGAATTTAATTAAATAAGGAGATTTTTTCGGATAATGTTATCCCTAACTTGAAAAGGACCAATACCAAGAATCAAGATAATCTAATTAAATAATGGGATGAAAGAGTGCTTAGCTTGGTCTAGGAATTAAAATATTTAAATTATTAAATTTAAAAAACTAACTTCGGAAAACATGTTCTTAAAATATCACCTACATTATCGGCCCAAAAGAGTTGTCTTTCAAATTTGTCTTTAAATATTTACAAATTAAATTGCAGTTGAAGAATTATTTTTCATGCTAAAACTTAAAAGTACTTTGACATCTGTATATTTCCACAAAAGAGTTGCAAACTACAAGTTGAATAATGTAAGTAAAGCTTGTTTGCTTTAGGTTACATGGAATTTTTTTTTATCATTATAATTATCTCATTATTTGGTTAAAATTAAAGTAAATCAACAATTTTATATTTAATTCAACCTTAAAAGTTATCTGATAAGGTGAGAATAGTCTAAAATAGTATAAAGAGATCATTACATTCCTCTAATATATAGTTGATGTAGAAACTCAACACCTTGCACGCCTAGAGCTGCTAATTGAGATAAAAAAGTGGAACGCTGTCGCTCTTTGGGCTTGGGGTTCGTTTCCCCCAATTTTGTCAATTGTTTACTTGTCCTCATTGAAGCTGAAATCATATTATGATTTGGTGAAATTGTGCCGATATTGTTGTAGACAAGTGTGCTATTTGCAGGAATCATATTATGGATCTCTGTGAGTGTTTTCAAATCTTTGTTTTGATTTAGAATAGAAAATAGAAATTCGATACTAGACCTTTCTATGTATATTTGCGAGTTTATGTGAAACTTTTTTCAACAGGCATCGAGTGCCAAGCTAATCAAGCTAGTGCTACGAGCCAGGAGTGCATTGTTGCTTGGGGTATGCAGTTTGTTTATCTAAATTAAATAATTTGCTGTAATTTATGCCTTGGAAAAATATTGACGGTTATTTTTCCATTATGGCTTATGAGTATATGTCTCTTGAAAGAAGCTTTCTGCTTGTCTTATGATATTATGCATGGATATGTCATTTGTATGCGCTAGGTGATGTGTAGGTCAGTTGGTGTGCACCTTGACTAAATCCAGTTGTTACCTATCACCTCCCGCTAGCAGTAGGTACTGTAGTTGGTACCTCTATCAACCAAGGCTTTGACATACGGGAAAAATCATTGTATTTTTGTTTCCGCAGAGATTTAAACCTGAGATCTCATGGTTCTCAACCCACTTCATCGACCACTAGGCCATACACTTGGGTGCTAATATATTGCATATGTTATGGTGAATAAGTTATAATCAGACTTGATTCTTATTGCCTACAGAATTATTTTCATCTGTTCTGAAGGTGCCAAGCATCCTTTGTCCGCAAAGCTCTGGCCTAGTTTTTCACTTAATAACATAAGTAATTCGTTGTCTTGTGTCGTCCTCTGATTAGACATATCTATTTATGGTACACACATTCTAAGGATTAAGCATATCTGTTTGTAAATCCATCTCATCTTTTTTTTATTTCACCTTCCTACTCCCAATCTCCCCACTCTTATTGCCAAAGAACACACATATATCTTCTCCCTCCTTTATCCTTCCATCTGATGAAACTTTTGTAATGTGTTCACCTTCTTTTGCTGTTTCTAAACACAATATTCCACTTTGGTACTCCTTACACCATGTCTTCTTTCTTATTTCTATTACGACTGGTTGAGGGACTCGAGCTCAACACGATTTGAAACCACTTTTCTCATGTTTATGATTTCAAAATTACCATACTTTTAAGAGAGAATTTCTTTGTCAAATTTATCGCTACAACTAAAATGAAATGTTTATTTTCATTCACAAGCAATGTTTTGTTGAATGAGATCCAAACAAGCGACAAACTAAAACACAAATATAGAAGTCAAAATATTAAAATTAAATTATAAATGGAAAAAATAGGCCTTGAATCATAGTCTTGAAGGAAACCAAAGGTGTAACAAGATATCTCTTGTTACAGATATGAAAGAAATTTGATCTGAACTTAATCATGGAGTCTTTTATCTTCTCGTTGATTCTTCACTTCTGTTTGGTTTTGCTCTTCCAAACCTGGCATTCTTTATTTTGGGGGCTTAGAAGTATCTTGATTTATATTATCGCAGGTGTATGTAACCATGCCTTCCACTTCCACTGCATCAGTCGCTGGCTCAAAACACGTCAAGTGTGTCCATTAGGTAGTTATTCAACTGTATCTTTGGCACTGTTTAGTTGGCTTGATAACTGTATTATAATTGTTGGAACTTCCTTTCCTACACTGCAGATAATAGTGAGTGGGAATTTCAGAAGTATGGTCATTAGAGGATTCAACAATTGGCAGGAGAGGCGATTATGCTGTTGCATTGTCATGTCTTTGAATGTTAGTTTGTTCTAGTAATACTTATTTACAGTGCCTTTTTTTCTCTGTTTCTTTACGTATCTGATTCTGCTTCGACTATCTGATAGGATTTATTAGAGAGCTGGTACCTATGTTGATTATATTGTTTGGATAATACCATCAATCAGAACCACTAGCATTCTGGCAGCCAATGTTATTTTACTTTTAATTTAGATGCTAATTATTGTATCTTCTTTTTTCTTCTTCCTCTAAATTTGTTTACAGTATCTTTTGTCATTTGTTTGATGTTGCCTGTATTTACATGTTTGATACTGTAAGGCCAAGTATTTCAATAGTTATGTCCGGGTTTTACATTAACAATGGCAATAAAAATGGTGCCCTTAGCCATGGTTGATTCGTGAGATCTTTTAACAATGGCACCATACACCAACAGTTCTTATCTTTGTTCTGTGTTGATGCACAATTGCATATAGCTTTCTTTCTATGTAGTGGGATCTTAAAATGGCAATGCCAACAAGTTTCTAATTTGATAGCATGTAGGTGAATCACAACCGTTCTACCTCTTAAGATTCATTCAAATGATCAAATGTATCAGGCTTACCAACATTCAGAAACAATAGAACTGGACAACGACAAAATTCTTAACATTATTTCTATAGGCAGATGGTCTTTCAATAATTCCTTTTTCCTTTCAGAACTTGGCCTTATGTCGGTCTTTGGAGCATCACGGATTACATTCTGTTGCACAGTTATGATCATAGAACAGGCTAAGCAGCAGCAGAGGATGATAGCCAACGCACTGCAATTGGACTCCTCACACTGTGAATTCCATCAGACCACTCAATTGATCCAAATGCTGATTCAAGACCCTTCACTCTCTCCGATCCAACACTGCTAAAACTGATCTCATATGACAAACTATTCTTTTCCTCACTGAAACTGAGCTTACTCGGAGTCACCTTCACCTCCACGGACGAAGGTGCATTTACCTTTACCTTATACACAACATTTGCATTCCTCCCAACATTTTTAACCACACGCTTGTATTTCACAACATTCTCACTCATGAAAACAACTGAGAATGATGGATAATTCAAATCCCCTGGACTAGCCAAACTATGTTCACTGCAATTCACTGAAGAAGTATCTTTCGTGAATGGTGAGATTCTGGAGGGGCCATAACCAATGGCGCATAGGAAACCTACGTAATCACTCGACTCAATGTCGTAAACCAGACCCGGATGCAGTGCTCTGTTTGGATCCACATGTCCCGACCCACGAACGAAAGGACTCGATTCTTGACCTGTGGCAAGATCCGTGATTGTTTTGCCGGAGTTGTCAACGTTGTAAGCTGTTGTCATGAGGGCTGATTTTATGGCTGCTGTGGTCCATTTAGGATAAGCCTTTCTGAGTAACGCAGCTAATCCACTTACATGAGGACAAGACATGGATGTCCCGGATATAATGTTGAATTCCACTCTTCTTTTGTCGATTTCCAAGTCTGTTGGACCAACAGCTCCGGTCCATCCAGCTAATATGTTGACTCCCGGTGCAGTAACGTCCGGTTTAAGGATCTCAGGGGTCACATAATTGGGTCCTCGGCCTGAGAACGCAGCAATGCGTGGAGCAGATGGCGATTTTCCTATAACAGTTCCCTTGAAAGTGATCGTCGCTGTTGGTGATGGAACAGATTTGATGTAATCCCTGATTTTATTGCCAGCTTTTTGACCCACCATGGTCGCTGGGAGGAGATGTGCATCGGCAACGAGTTCTTCTCCAGAGTCAGCTAAGTTTGCTAGGACCATACCTGCACCGCCCGCTTGTTTCACAGCACTTCCTTTCTCTACTCTGGCATTGCCTCCTCGATCACATAATACAATTTTCCCAGCAACTTTTGAAGGGTCCAGCTTTCCTGGATAACAGAGTTGGCTGCCACAGTCGGCGGAATAAACAAGCTGTAGTTTTGCATTGCCAAGGGGATCTCCGGTATATAAGGATACACCACCAAATATTCTACCGTCTCCTAAGATAACATCCGCTGGAAACTCCCGATCTATGGTTGAAGCAGCAACAGTGAGAATCCATGGGGCAACGTTGACCGCCGTAGAAGCACCAGGACCGGAATTTCCAGCAGAGCAAGAGACGACAACGCCATGTTCTGTGGCACCAAAAGCTCCAATAGCAATGGAGTCGACGTCATACTCAGGAGAATAACCATCTGCGCCAACAGAGAGAGAAATCACGTGAACCCCGTCCGCAACAGCTTGATCCATTGCAGCCAGTATATCAGAATCAAAACACCCTGTTTTCCAGCAGATCTTATAGGCTGCTATTCTAGCTTTTACAGCCATACCTCTAGCTTCACCTTTTGCATATTGGTAAAAGCTCGCATTGGCTACAACAGATCCAGCTGCAGTTGAAGCAGTGTGAGTTCCATGGCCTTCAGTATCTCTTGGCGATTTGGATTCTTTAGATTCATCCATTGGACTTCCACGATCAGCTTCATATCCTTTGTAAAACAATCTAGCACCTATGATTTTACGATTACATGAAGTTGCAGGAAAGTCCGGGCCACTCTCGCATTTCCCTTTCCAACCTGAAGGCACCGGTGAAAGCCCCTTGTCAGAAAAGCTCGGCCTTTCTGGCCAAATACCCGTGTCAAGGACTCCAACAATAACATTATCAGCATAATCAGAATTGGGCCAAATCCCAAATGAGTCTTCAAGGCCTAAGAAGGTAGGTGTGTGAGTGGTATGAAGTTGGCGTACGCGATCAGGGATGACGGAGACCACACCGGGAACGCGGCTGAGCTGGTCAGCCTGCCCGGATGTAAGGCGGGCAGAGAAGCCACGGGCAGCACGATCATAAGAATACAAGATATTGGGAGAGTGTTGAGAGACTGATCGGAGAATAGAGGAGTACCAATGATGGTGAGTAGTGAAAATAAGAGGCTTGTGGGATATGGACACGTGGACTATGAAAGTTTTAGGACCATCCGATTTGACTGAAATTGCCAATGAGCTGAGAAAGAGGAAGACTAGGGGGGAGAAAGAAGAAGAAGGAAGTGCCATCGCTAAAGAGAAACTAGTTTCTGGGAAGATAAGAGAGATATTTGATGGGCTTTATTGTGCCACGTTATAGATAGTTGTTGGTTCATTTTCAGTCCTTTTGGCAATTCCCAAATAACCATGTAAGTTTTGGGCCCATTTCTCGTGTAAAGAAGGATGGAAGGGTAGCTCAGGTGGGTAGGTAAGAGACATGATGTTCAGAAAAGATATTTAGATAGTATCTGATAGGCATTAGTTATTAACCCATTATTGCCCGTACTAGGAGTATTTTATTTTTTGGAATTGGAGTGTCGTGAATCATGCCAATGATGCTTCTGCTATTTCATTACTCAAAAAACTATTTGTGAGATCATCCTAATTGACTCCAGGTAGTGGAATAATCTGCTAGGAGATTCAAACACAAGAGCATTAAGCTCATTTGAGGCGCTTGAAACCAACATGCAACAACCTATTATGTCAAAGGAGTTCAAAACATGTTATTTAATCATTTTTTGTTTCATTTTATTTGTATATACAATATTTTTTTCTGACAAATTGGACATCCTGCATCAATGTAGCTCCCCCCTGTTGTTGTATGTGATGAATTAAAAACAACATTAATTAGTTGTCATTTAGTGAAATTGTGAATACATATATGTAGTGTAGTCATTGGTTTGATATAAGTATCAAAAATGGGTTCAATAATTAATTTGATCCGTGTTTGAAAATCTCACTTTGGAGTAGTAAAACGTTTTCTCTATTAAATGTAGCTTCAGTTTTTGAGCCCGTATTTGAAATTTCTGATTAAAGAATGAAAGTTATTTACTACCGGCAAAAAGTAGATTTATTTTTTCGTTGTGTTGAGCGGCACCAAATTGGAAGGGAAGTGATTCATATGACAAAATGGGTCAAGAAACTGATGACCACAATAATGGACCAGTGGGATTTAGCCATAAACTAGGGACGAAAGCAGGTGTCAAATTATGCAATGCAATAACGAAATTATTTTATTTGTCATTGCGGCATGTGTATATTCCTTATACGAGTTACACTAGTATTTTAACCATTAAACGTTCTTGATTATTACGTGATTATATATATATATATATATATATAATAAAGGAGAATAGTTTGTAATGAGATTTTGCCAAGTGGCAAATTAATGAAATGCCACTTGGCAATTTAAGATTAATTTAATAAATATTGTTATAAAAAGTTGAATTTTTAATTTTTAATTAAAAAATATTTATTAACTAGATTTACATATAAGAAATAATAATTACCACAGTAAAAAAGTTCTAACTAATTTCAGACTCCCTATTTTAATAAACTTTTAACATCACGAAAGTAGTTCCTAAATAAAAGGTATAAAGAAGAAAATTCATTTGTAAAATTTAAAACTAAAATATGAAAATAAATACCCTTCGGGTGGTTTGGGCTTGGAACTTCCTGGATCGAGCTCATCTCACCGGGCTTGCCTAGTGCGGGTTACCTCTTCTATGTGGTTTGCGAGTTATTGCATAGGAGCGAGAGTTTTATTCTGTGCGCAAGCAACTGCGGTTTCCCTTGTCATAAAAAAAAAGATGAAAATAAATCTAGCTTCTCAATAAATAGCAAGATAGTGAAATAATTAAGGTTTACACAGATTAATCCTAACATCATTCTCATGAAAAAGAACTACTCTTGTGTAGCTTCTAAAATAATACAAAGAGGTCCCAAAATGTTTCAAAAGGTCCATTCAAGACCTTACTTTCATTAGGCGAGATAATACCAAATCAGAATAAAACCAATCAATTAGGATCACTTATATATACATAAAATAGAAAAAATGAAATCGCTAATACCAAATTTTTCATACTCTAATTCATTGTACTTATCATATGATTTGAAAGATAACGTCTCTCTCTCTCTACTTGTACCAACGACACATCCGTGTGCGTGACTCGACACTTCTCTTTCTCTACGTCTCTTCTACTAATATATATACTATTTCTTCCAGTGGGTTGGATCGCCACTTCTATCGCATTTCATTATTTCTTCATTCTCTATCTATTCCTCCATTGTGTGAAATCATGACTAGTTTCACGAAGAAAGAGTACGAATTCCTCAAAGAGCTCGGAATTGGCCCCCAAAATCTCGGTTGTTATGTTAATGGCACCTGGAAAGCTACTGGCCCCGTCA